ACGGTTAATTTTCCAACTAACCACCAACATTTTTCTGTCATGTACAGCTGAACCGAGTCCATTGTGTGCATGATCATTTCCAGAGTCGGACCGTCTGGGAATGCACCAAGTCCACGGTCCTCCTCTGGAAATGATGATGCATACAATGGACTCCGGAAAAGATGCGTTTCTCTACGTCTTCCTGCCAACATGACCAAGTTGCTAAAACAAGGTCAAACAACTTCTTAAACTTTGAAGTTGCAGGCCATGTCACTATAGCTCACAAAGGAACTCTTAAAAACCCGGTTTTACTTCATATTCATAACGCTTGCCACCATCATTCCGCCAGTTCACCTGTAGGCAAGGCAGGAACCTGAGTGAATGCATGTTTGTGTAAGTATTATTAGCATTCTAGAAGACAGCCTCTACGCCTCAATTAAGGCTATACATGAGATAAAACCTTTTAAAGCATAACCCTCTTGCATAATGGCTAGCCGGGGAGAGTAATGGTCGGTCATTGTAGAGTGTATGTGAAATTCGAAGCAAGAGGGAAATGGGTAAACTGACTATTGGCTTCAATTGTGAGCACATTGAAGCCTGTAAATTGTGCCCAAAGACGAAGCCCTAGTATCCATGACGTGTGCTTGATGCCGTGATATGCATGTATGCAAGAAAGGTAAACAGACAAACAAGCATACACACATAGAGGCATAGTTAATATGGCAGAGGTCAATTCACAAAGTGGGTGATTATCCTCTATTCCTGCAGGTGCGCGACTTGTCCGGACACAGGGGCTCGTTGCCCGTGTCCCTTCCCGTCCCATCCCATCCCATCCCGTCTTGTCTGCTTTGATTATGCCAGCGCCCCGGTTGTCCTACAGAAGCAGGCCCCACTACACACTAACATGCCTACACGAAGCGTCTTCTCCCCCTCAATCGCCCACTCGGCCGCTCTATTCGCTGGCTCCCTACCCGCGGAATCTGCAGTTCCTCTCCGCTAGCCAGTACCTGCTGGAGGTGGTTAGTCGCCCCGATCGTAGATCATCACTTCATACCTTGTCTACAGAGCGAAGTATGAGAAGTGGAGGAGAACGCTTGTCTGAGAGGCTTGGAGAAAGTGAACGTATATTGCAAAAACCACGCTTTCCCTCCACTTGACTCCGGCGAAATACCGGCGGACCTCGAGAAGAGACCAGTTTTTGCCCCCCCTAGCCGAGTTACTACCGTTACTACACATAAGCCAAATGACTGATGTGTACCGGTGAAGGCTGATCGCTGAAAGGTACCGCCATAGTAAAGCCCTGCCAAATAGCGTTCTAGTCTCCACAACCCAATTTTGTCCCTGCACATTTAACCTAATTCAGACAAAATTTCACTTTTTTGACCTTTTTTTCTCAACTTGGTCGTATTGGTAGGAAGACTTAGAGGAACGCAACTAGACTTGTCTCTTTGACGAGTTGTAATATGGAGCTATGAATGGCGAGACTCATTGACGATGCCGGCGAAACGTCTTGGAATGTACCACGTCCACAGTCCTACTTTGGAAATTATTATGCATACAATGGACTCAGGACAAGGTACGTTCCTGCCAATAGGACCAAGTTGCGAAAACAAGGTCAAACAAATTCTATACAACAAAAGGAGACTGCGACCACACAAAAGGCTAA